GGTGGTTGTATTGCAAGGTGAGGCATTGACTCCTTTCCTTCTGATGTCATTTCGCTTCTGCTTTTCCTTATTTTGGATGACTTCTTTTCAAGTGTCATTTCTGAAACCACTTTCTTAACTGGCTGTGCATGGACCTCTACTGAAGCTCTTTGTCCACTGCCGTTGGTTTTGTGTGTCTTTTCAGTAATAAGCTTAATTTCTGTTTGTGTATCACCACTTGCATGCAGACTATTGCTTGGTGCTGTCCCAGCTATTTCCAACTCTTCTAAAGATTTTGTTGTTCTGTTCCTGGTCAGGTTAAGCTTGCTCTTCTTGTGGTCTTTCTTGGGGGCAGTTTCTGTGCTTTTGATCTTCCTTTTCTTCTCAGTTTTCAGCAATTCAGGCATGACTGAACTGCAGACCTTCACAGAAGGAAACAAAACTTCACTTGAGTCTGGCCCTCTTGCCATCTTACAGTGTGGCAGGTGGGACTTGAGCCGTTTAAATGTTTTTTTGCAGTAGGGGCAGATTTCCCTTCCTGGAGGACTGGTGGCCATTTTTCTATGTGGAAAAAGAAGCAATAGATTATAAATTGGCAAACTTCCCACAAGCAGAAAATGGCCAGAAGTTCATTACTGGGTTCAGTACTGCCTCACTGTCTCATCTTGCTTTTAGTGCCTTTAGCCATCTCATTCTATCTATGCTATCTGTTTGAGATTTAAAATATGTGTCTTCTGCTTTTCAGAAACAGTCTTGAAGGAAAACAATGCACTTGAGGAGAGATTAGGAACTGCAGTAAAGTCAGGATTTAAACACAACCATAGGATCAGGAATGATATGTAACCCCAAGGGGAAGGGGCCTCACCCAGAAACGGCAGATAAGGAGCCCCTGGGCAACAGTTCACCAATCCACAGGATTAAAATGGGGCCTCTAAACCTGCATGACTATAAGAAACACACTGAATCACACTTTTTCTGAGATTGAGTTGGTGGCTGGCAAGGTTATAGTTACAAGAGGGGGCAAAATGAAGGCATTGGACCCTCTCAGTAAGAATTCTGCTTCAAAAATGATTTTTTTCCCTCCATTCCCCAAATTTCTAGCAGTGCAGAGAGTAAGACAATAAAACTTGTTCACAACTTTATATTTTCTGTGTTCACATTACATTTTTAATAATAATAATAATAATAATAATAATAATAATAATAATTTATACCCCGCCCCTCTGAGCACAATCGGGGCAGCTAACAAGTGCTAAAAATATAGAGTACAATCAAATCCCTATAGCTTTTCCTGCCCCTTTTCTCTGGATGCCTAAATTCTATTTTCAAACACTCAAGTGAAGTTTTAAGTTATTGTAACGCTAAAAATTTGGGACTGAAGGAAAACGTCATGGGGAGGGGAGAAGAAATCTTATCTAGGGGGCAATGCCCTCATCCCAGCCCCATAACTAGTCTGGAAACTCTTATAGGCATAAAGCCCCCCCCCCTTCGTATACACTCAGCCCTCCATACCCACAGATTCTACACCTGAGGATTCAACCACCCAAACCTGAAAATATTTTTTTAAAATCCAAAAAGCAAACCTTGATTTTGCTGTTTTATATAAGGGACATCATTTTACTAGGCCACTGTATTTAATGGGACTTGAGCATCCACAGATTTTGGTATCCATGGGGATCCTGGAACCAAACTCCAGCGGATACGGGGTTCTGTCCTGGGCCAGTGCTATTCAACATCTTTATCAGTGACTTGGATGAAGGAATAGAAGGCATGCCTATGAAATTTGCAAATGATACCAATTTAGGAGGAGTAGCTAATATCCCAGAGGACAGGATCAAAATTCAAGAAGATGTGAATAGATTCGAAAGCTGGGCCAAAGCTAACAAATTGAATTTCAACACAGAGAAATGTAAGGTACTGCACTTAGGGCAGAAAAATGAAATGCACAGATATAGGATGGGGGACACCTGGCTTAATGTGACTACATGTGAAAGGGATCTAGGAGTCCTAGTTGACCACAAGTTGAACATGAGTCAATTGTGATGTGGCAGCTAAAAAGGCCAATGCGATTTTAGGTTGCATCAATACAAGTATAGTGTCTAGATCAAGGAAAGTAAGGTAATAGTGCCACTGTATTCTGCTTTGGTCAGGCCTTACCTGGAATACTGTGGGCCTCTGCAGAATGGCCCAAAGGGGCAGCCTGAAGGCAGAGATGGGGAAGGGCAGCTGCACGCCAGCTGCCCCAACCCTAGCCCAATGATGTCCTGACACTGCGCACTATTACGTGTGATGCGCGGCGTCAGGACATCCTCCGGCACAGCGCTTTTACGTGCTGCAACGGAAGGGGTGCTAAACAGCCATGCACTGGCTCTTAAGGTGCCCTTTTGCCACCCCTGAAAGGAGCGACAT